ATGTGTAAATCCCTCCAGTATGCACTAATCAAAATGTGTAAATCCCTCCAGTATGCACTAATCAAAATGTGTAAATCCCTCCAGTATGCACTAATCAAAATGTGTAAATCCCTCCAGTATGCACTTATCAAAATGTGTAAATCCCTCCAGTATGCACTAATCAAAATGTGTAAATCCCTCCAGTATGCACTTATCAAAATGTGTAAATCCCTCCAGTATGCACTAATCAAAATGTGTAAATCCCTCCAGTATGCACTACAAATTTTGAAAGACAACAAAAAATTACCTCTTATTTATACATCTCAGATTCCTATAAGTGTTGAATATAACAAATAGAGATTTGTTAAAAGCTGTAATTTTATACATACCTTATATTATCAAATTTATGGAACAAAATATCTAGCTTTGGTTAACTGAAGCTAGAAGGCCCTTTATTTTTCTTATGTTTTTTTATGGGCAGCAAAGTTGCAAATGCATGTTGGAAAGTTAAAATTTGGTAGGCTTTGGTTTCTTGTCATTTTTGACGGGCTTTTATACTAGTTAATGATTAATAGGGTCAAAAAAAAATTTTAATTTTCTTTGTAAGCATGTCTGGTTGTGGAAAAGGATTGAAAAAGATGGGAAAATTGAAAGATCGAATGGGGATCGGCAGAGCCAAAGGCCAATCTGGACGAAAGACAATTTTGGCCAATGTTGCTGCTTCTTCAGGACAGAAGAAAATGCTATCATTTGTCAGTAGAATAAGAAGAAAAAGTGAACATTTTACCTGGAAGATGGCAACTCTGACATTGATGATCCAAATCCATTATCTGTATCAGAAACAGAAAATGATGTTCCAATTAGTCCAGAGCTGTTGGACAAATTGAAGATATTGTTATGGACACAATGCCAGAAGCTTCCACCTCAGGTGCGGGTGATTTTGAAAGATCTCAAAGTCTTAATTTTGTTCAATACAACAAGTCTTTCAGTGACTCCAGAGATTGCGAACAAAACAACCAGTGATCCAAATCAAAAACAATTTGAAAAAGAAGTTCAGTTAGGTTCTGAATTTCCATGGTTACTATAATGCCTTGCAATTTTTTTAGCTAATGACACTCCTTGTCAAGGTCTTCGTTCAGAGGATTACGTCAACAAGGCTTTGTCACATTTACCCAAGACACAAACTGAGAAAAAATGAAGTTTCAAAGAAACATCAGAAAGCCGGTGGGAAAACTAAAGTAAAGGCAAAATCTAAGTCATTAAGTAAAGATGAGATCGAAAAGTCAATCAAGACATTGCTAAAACAAGTAGTTTTTGCTGCTGAGCACTACTTATCAGTCACTACCCACTTTCAAGACATCTATGAATTCATAATTTCAGAAATAGAAGAGTCGCTGTTATACAAATTCTACAATTCTAAAACAAGCTATGGTATGGTAAGTACATGTCAGCCATCAGTGTATGGTCTATGTTCACAACTTATGCAAAAGCCATTCAGAATAAGGTTTTATATACTAGTACATTTTCTTTGCTCATGGATGAATGCACTAATGCCGCCAGTCGTGAAGAGATATCTCGCCATGCTAGATTTGTTGATAAGAAAGGTAATATTCAAGTAAAGTTCTTGGATATGATACGTGTTACAAAATGGAAGGCAGAAGACTTGCTAGACTACATTGTTGACTGGTGTGATGTTAATGACATTGATATCAGAAAGTGCTTCTTTGTATGCCTAGACACTACAACAGTTATATCCGGGCAGAGAGAGAGATTTCAAAAACTACTAAAGCTATGATCTATTCTCATTGTAAAAATCATCTCATTGCATTGGCATTTGGGTAAAATGAAAAATGAGGATGAGATTCTCAGGGCATTTTCAGCATTTGTGACCACATTCACAGAGATGGTTTCGTTTGATGTTCAAGCTGTTGAAATATAACTTTCAGAGAAAGGACATCCATGAAGAAATTTTTGACTTGGCAGGTTTTGAATGACCCTCTGTACGCACTTGTTGGCTATCAATATCACTTCAGACAACAAAATTCATTTTTATTACAAGACATTCATGGATTGATATGTTGCAATGTTCCAAAAGAAACTTGATATGCAAGTGAAGGGAATAATTATAGAAGCAGTTGACTCAGAATTGATTGCAGTTGCTGGTTTATTAGCAGATATATTTTCCATCATTAATCAAGTCCAGAATAGAAGAATGTTCTATATTCACAATTACTTTACTGTAAGGAAAAGATATTAAATTTGATTGATAAGATGAGTGATCCATGTTTAAGAATAAGTACATGCTCAAAAGCCAACAAGAAATCCACTTTTAAAAATAATGTAGAGATCAATGGATGTTTCTTTTCAAACATAGATGATCTATGCAAGACAGATCACCACACAACTATTTTGCTGGACTCTTTCTACTGGATCCAACTAATTTAATGAGATTAAAAAGACAATTGCATTTCACTCTGCTGTCAAAACTTCTTTCCCAAAAACTACAAGTGCCCCTAATGCAGTAGAAGAATTTGAAGTTGCCAAGCTCAGAATTGCTGATCATACCTTCCAAACTAAGAAAAATGTTAGAGTACTTACTGCTAAAAAGAAGTTAGAAGAAGAATGTTTAAACTGACCAAAAGAAGAAGAGACAGTACAAAGATTCTATATAGGCAAGTTAAAGTGGAAGAAGTCTGATCTGGTAAAACTGTTGTTTTCATCATAATTAACCACTGATTATCCAAACATGAGTTTCTGTTGAAACTTGCAGGAAGCCTACCTGCATCAACTGCTGTGGCTGAACATGGTTGGTCAGTGCTGATTCTAATATCCGAGAGTAAGAAAGTGTTTCCACTTCGAGCACTTTATCAAACTTATTACACCATCTTTTGTACTCAAATGACTTGTGTGAATGTATGTATGAGTATTGGAGAGTAAGAAAGTGTATCCACTTCAAGCAATTTATCAAACTTATTACACCATCTTTTGTACTCAAATGACTTATTGTGTGACTGTATGTATGAGTATCAGAGAGTAAGAAAGTGTTTCCACTTCGAGCACTTTATCACACTTCTTACACCATCTTTTGTACTCAAATGACTTATTGTGTGAATGTATGTATGTACGAGTATCGGAGAGTAAGAAAGTGTTTCCACTTCGAGCACTTTATCAAACTTC